GGCCCCTCAATCCCTCTGTTACTGTGTCACTATACCCCACCCCTCTAACATGTAAACTCACTGAGCAGGGCCCTCAATCCCTCTGTTACTGAGTCACTATACCCCACTCCCTCTAGCATGTAAACTCACTGAGCAGAGCCTCAATCCCTCTGTTACTGTCACTATACCCCCATTCCCTCTAACATGTAAACTCACTGAGCAGGGCCCTCAATCCCTCTGTTACTGTGTCACTATACCCCACTCCCTCTAACATGTAAACTCACTGAGCAGGGCCTCAATCCCTGTTACTGTGTCACTATACCCCACTCCCTCTAGCATGTAAACTCACTGAGCAGGGCCTCAATCCCTCTGTTACTGTGTCACTATACCCCACTCCCCTCTAACATGTAAACCTACCTGGAGCAGGCCCCTCAACTTGATAATACTGTGTCACTACCCCATTCCTCTAACATGTAAACTCTCACTGAGCAGGCCCTCAATCCCTCTGTTACTGTGTCACTATACCCCACTCCCTCTAACATGTAAACTCACTGAGCAGGGCCCTCAATCCCTCTGTTACTGTGTCACTATACCCCACTCCCTCTAACATGTAACTCACTGAGCAGGCCCTCAATCCCTCTGTTACTGTCACTATACCCCACTCCCTCTAACATGTAAACTCACTGAGCAGGCCCTCAATCCCTCTGTTACTGTGTCACTATACCCCACTCCCTCTAACATGTAAGCCCACTGAGCAGGGCCCTCAATCCTTCTGTTACTGTGTCACTATACCCCACTCCCTCTAACATGTAAACTCACTGAGCAGGGCCCTCAATCCCTCTGTTACTGTGTCACTATACCCCACTCCCTCTAGCATGTAAACTCACTGAGCAGGGCCCTCAATCCCTCTGTTACTGTGTCACTATACCCCACTCCCTCTAACATGTAAACTCACTGAGCAGGCCCTCAATCCCTCTGTTACTGTGTCACTATACCCCACTCCCTCTAACATGTAAACTCACTGAGAGCAGGCCCTCAATCCCTCTGTTACTGTGTCACTATACCCCACTCCCTCTAACATGTAAACTCACTGAGCAGGGCTCTCAATCCCTCTGTTACTGTGTCACTATACCCCACTCCCTCTAACATGTAAACTCACTGAGCAGGCCCTCAATCCCTCTGTTACTGTGTCACTTTACCCCACTCCCTCTATCATGTAAGCTCATTGAGCAGGACCCTCAACCTCTCTGTTCCTGTGTGTCCAACTTGTCTGGTTACAAATACATGTTTGTTCGTCCACCCACTGTAAAGCGTTGCGGAATTTGTTGGTGCTATATAAATAATAACATCATAATAATAATAATAATAATAATCATTACCATCAATCAAAAACTTAATTGAATTATTTTCCTCAAACATTAACATTATGAATTGACTTCTTTCAAGTCTTTATGGTAGCTTTTTACTTACATTGTGTTTTTCTAAAAACCTTTATAAAAGTGAATTCTTCTTATCCTTCATATAATAATTCATATTTCTACCTATTGCTACTGTGTAAATAAATCTATACGTTGTCGCCGAATAAAATTCAAAGAGAATACATAAGTGGCAAATCTTTTTCATTCTTCCTGCATTTTACTTCCTTCTATGATTGGTAACAGTTTGGCATCTTTATAATCTCCCAGTTACAATCTTGCGGGCAGGTTATTGTAACATTTCCCATTCGTTGGAAACTGAGACTATAATAACAGGACTCCGGAGATGGACTTAAACGGTTGTCAAAAAGGATAACATTGTGACAACTTTGTTTTTGTCTGCGTTGCAGAACAGGAGGTGGAAGCTTGCCCCCCAAGGTAGCACTTTAGTATAAATTTGGCTTTTTTTAAATGACAACACGCAATCTGGCCCTCCTCGCTTTTGTGCAGTGATCTGCTTCCTCTTTCAACTTCAGTGAGGATTGAACCTTGTTGATTGCACGCTTTATGTAATGCAAATAATCTAAAGAGTATTTACAGCGGGCTGAGAGAATGCCTATTATAGCCTGTTATGAATTATCAATATTCTGGGTTTGCATGCTCTGGTCCATTTAAAATAGGTTCCCTTTGAAATCCCTTTTTATTCCTTTAAATGTGCGTTGAATAATCAGTCCTAGCCAGAACTCAGACTCTCTTTCTGTGTTTCTAAGAACCCATTAAATTATATTGTTACTGGAAAACAATAGATGTGCTAATCACAGTCTGAGCATGTGCATTCCTAATTTCCCCCGAGGATTGAATATGAATTTTTACTAACATGTTAATTTTGTGTGTTAATCAGTCGCTGTAGGCTGAATGAATGGATTGACTATGTAAAATTGTTTGATATTGAAACAACTCCTTTTGACCCTTTCAAATTGGCTCCGTTCCCCTAAAGACGCTTAAAGTTAATTAAGCACTCAATAGGTTTATGGTGTTTAAATTAAAATATATTACTCCTCATTGTTTAGTCATCAAGTGAGAGAATCATTCTCCTCCTGGCTGCCTTGCTGGCTAATAGGCTTATCAAAATTCATAATGTAATAAGGAGGATTTGATGGCTGGACAAGTATGTTACAGAAACAGGCTGTCAATCACTGTTTGTTGCACTGCACAGATGTGCCACTAGGAGGCACATGCTATCCATGAATAAATTCTCTCTCTCTTATTCATAAAGTGATAATATTTGAAATAAATTTCTGACACATCTCAAAAATATTTTTCTCTTGATCATAGCAAGGTCAGTAGGAAATTAATTGACAGGCTGTTTTTTTATTGATTTCCAAAATCTACGATCCTTACTTTTTAACCCTATGCATAATGCATTCAACATATTAACAACAGGTTAATTAAGAAGTCGTTTGTAATTTGTGTGCTCTCTATTGTAACATGTTTCATTTTCAAACAGAAACATTTATGCATTTGTGAAAAAAAAGCTATACAACATTCAGAAGTGGCTGAAAGTATTGGTACCCTTTAACTTTGTTAGGCAAATGCACAATGTTTTCTGCACTAACTAATACTTGACTAATGTATTTGGTATCCACCATTCTTTATTTCAAATGTAATAGAGCAGAAATCTAACTTTTTATTTATTGATTCACATATGAATTTAAACAGTAAAACAAATGAGAATGGCATAGACAAAAATATTGGTACCCTTAACCTAATCTTTCATAGCACAGACTTCGAAGACAATAACTGCAATAAGGCACTTACTGTAGCTTTGAAGAAGATTCCTTTAGTTTTTATTTGAATTTTAGCCCACTCTTCTTCAACTAAATTGCTACAATTCTCTTCATTGTTTTGACGCGTGCCTTTTCCCACCTGAGAGTGTCAGACCTTTCCACAGATGTTCATTGGGATTTAGATCTGGACTCATAAAAGGCGGTATACTTAATTCCAGAGTGCCTTTATAGTAGACATGTGAAATTCGTTTCAGTCCGAATTTAAATTCAGACGAATTTCTGCAAGTGCCGATCCGAACCGAATTGCTGAAGTGCCGAATTTCCGAAGTGCCGAAGTGCTTCGTATTTCTGAGAAGAGGCAGGAGAGGGAGGTAAAATTAAGGGAATGATGACAGGAATCTAACCCTAACCCTAGCCCTAACCCTACCCATTACCCCAAACTTCCTCTAACCCTACCCTAACCCAAGTGGGGTTGGGGCTAGGGGTAGGGTTAGGAGTAGGGTTAGGGGTAGAGGTAGGGTTAGGAGTAGGGTTAGGGTTATGTGGTAGGGTTAGGGGTAGGGCTAGGGTAAGGGGTAGGGTTAGGGGTAGAGGTAGGGGTAGGGTTAGTGAATTGCCAAAGTCCCGAATTTCGTAAGTGCCGAACCAAATTTTTTGCCCATGCACATCCCTACTTGATAGTCTTCTGAGCTACACATTTGGTTTGTCTGTCCAAAAGACCATTCTCCCAGAAGGATTGTGGCTTGTCAATACACATTTTTGTAAGCACAAGTTGGAGTTCAAGATGAATGGTGTGTTAAAGTACTTGATTAAAATGCAAGGTGCCAATAAAGATAATAATAATTTTGGCTGGTATGAGGCTATCCTAAGTAAAAATACTTAAAATTACCTTGCTGTGGCTCTCGCCTTCCCTTAGCATACACTGCCAGACCAAGCACCCTGTAATCAGACCAGCTGGTAATCTATTTATTCAGGATAGTTCTTTGGGAGTAGCTTGCCAACTCAGGTCAGCCGCATGGAACTAGTGGCTCAGCACTCAGCTGCAGCTTGTCAAACCTTTACCCGGGTGGCGATCCTACATCACGTAGAGAATCAAGGCACTATTTGAACTGTATATTGCTGATGGGTTAAGCTATCCAGGAAAACCTGATATGTGGGGTTTACTGGTGGAGAAATGCATATTTGGGGCACTTTGGTTAAGGTGCCCTGATATCTAGATGTTAATAAGATTAGTGGTTCTTAATCTAGTTATCTCTCAGGCACAGAGGTGCCTGTGTGGGACCTGTATAGTTTTAATTAACGACCCTCTGCCGGGCTTCTGTGTGTAAATGTATATACTTTGACCAATAAAAGAGGAGTCCTACTTTCACCCTTCATAAAGTTTTGACTGATTTTTGGGTGGACAGTGTGGCATTCTGCCAATGTATCACCGTCACGGATACCCTTTTCCCAAGAGAAACAGCAAACAATTCCCACAGGTGAAATATCTCTGGCGTAGAATAACCCCCCACACATGAGCCAAGGCTTAATGCTGGGTGAAGACTGATTTTAATGGAAGTACAGGCATTAAATTCACACAATCCATAAACTCCTCCTCTGTGGCTGAGAGATAATTAAGTCAGTGAATATACTAAACTCAATTATCTCCCAGTACAGAAAAATGCACAATTTTGCAACGCCCCAAAAGTACCTCCAAAATACAGGAAAACCGCACAAATTTGGATTTGGGCAAACAATATATCCGAAAATCACCCAGATCCATTCTGTAGTTTTGAATCGCCATCGCATGGAAGTTCTAACCGGTCTGCCACGAGGAGTCAGCCCAAAATAGTTCCATGGAAATGGTGGCAAGAGCCGGTCTTCGTTCGCGGGGTTTTGTACGAAAACCACATAAGATAAAGGAAAACTGGTTTGTGTAGAATGCTCCCCATGTTCGTTAGTCTGTAACTCCTGAACGCCGTTCGTATAGGTGAACTGGAACTAGAACGAGCCGTGAGTCCATGGTGACCGGTGTTCGTGGGAGTGCCTGGCCGAGATCAGTTCCAGGCACTCGACGACCAAGTCCCCCTCCCAGCTTCAGGAGGCAACATGGCCGCCATCCATTGTATCACCCACATGCGATCGTGTGTACGAAATGGCGGCCACCCAGTGGAGCATTCTATTAATCATTTGTTTTGCGATTTTCATCCAGATACATAACGTTCCATGTTCTAATTGGGTTAAAGAGTGGTCTAGGAAATAAACAAAATGACTATGGAACCGAACAAAATAAATGAAAGGAGCCGAAAGTGATAGGGATATTCCTTCACAGACAAAGTCTTCAGAGACTTTGGCGGAGATACTCTGGTCGAGTATTGGAGAACCACCACATTGGCCACATCTGTATACATATCAAAAGGCATGTTTTATTTTTAGCATGTTCTGAATACAGCAAATATTACAAATGTGTTTCCACAATGTTCCCAGAATGTTCTGCAGGGTATCCAAAAGAGCACATACAGTACTATCAGACGTTATATTTAGTGTCCACAATGATTTAGTCTTCATTATCACATATCAGATGAGAAGTGGCAGCAGCACCAAGACTAGGACAGCCCAGAATAAAAATACATTTATTGATAACAGTTTTCCTTCCACTTTATTTCATAGCTGTAGCACTTCACCTGGTTAGCCAATCACGTTTGCTATAAGGTCAACTAACACGTTTTGCCTTGGGCATAACTCTGCTTGTAGGACCCTTCCAATCAACTCTCAACTTCCCTAAAACTGAGAAAATATCTGAGTTGAGGACTCTGACTTGGTTCCAGCACCTATCTGGGATTTGTATCACGGCTATCCCACCACAAACACCACACATCAATCTCTTTAAATGCCTACCCACATTACCCACATGGTATCCAGATCACTTACATTATTCAGCAGCCACACTAAATGCTCACACAACATTGCAACCCATCAAGACTAACAGCACTCATCAAACACACAATTTGCACTTATATGATGGACTTCTATGTCACGCTGCACCCAAGGCCAGAATAACATAGGGACTTTTCTTTTACTACTCACAAATATAAGGAATTCCGGGGAATACAATTTGTTTGGATTGACTATAAAATGATTTAACATAAAGAGGACTTTGCACACTGTGAAATATCTTGCTGCTTCTGTCTCCATATAACTGTGGCATGGCCCCTTTCTTCTACACTCACTACACCCACCTCTTTCTCTGTTTGACACTCAATACCAGGAGCTTCTGCCTGCTAGCGAGAAGGGTCAGAGAGGAATGGATAAGTGAGTTCTGAGGAGGGATGATTCAGAGTTTGTTATTAGAGAAAGTTGAAACAATGGGGAGGTATGACAGTTTTAATATTTTCTGCACTCACTAAACACTCACATTGCACACAGCACTCACTAAACACTCACATTACACACAGCACTCACTAAACACCCACATTACACACAGCACTCACTAAACACTCACATTACACACAGCACTCACTAAACACTCACATTATACACAGCACTCACTAAACACCCACATTATACACAGCACTCACTAAACACCCACATTGCACACAGCACTCACTAAACACTCACATTACACACAGCACTCACTAAACACCCACATTACACACAGTACTCACTAAACACCCACATTACACACAGCACTCACTAAACACTCACATTACACACAGCACTCACTAAACACTCACATTATACACAGCACTCACTAAACACCCACATTGCACACAGCACTCACTAAACACTCACATTATACACAGCACTCACTAAACACCCACATTACACACAGCACTCACTAAACACTCACATTACACACAGCACTCACTAAACACTCACATTACACACAGCACTCACTAAACACCCACATTACACACAGCACTCACTAAACACTCACATTATACACAGCACTCACTAAACACCCACATTACACACAGCACTCACTAAACACTCACATTACACACAGCACTCACTAAACACTCACATTATACACAGCACTCACTAAACACTCACATTACACACAGCACTCACTAAACACTCACATTATACACAGCACTCACTAAACACCCACATTACACACAGCACTCACTAAACACTCACATTACACACAGCACTCACTAAACACTCACATTACACACAGCACTCACTAAACACCCACACTTACACACAGCACTCACTAAACACTCACATTATACACAGCACTCACTAAACACCCACATTACACACAGCACTCACTAAACACTCACATTACACACAGCACTCACTAAACACTCACATTATACACAGCACTCACTAAACACTCACATTACACACAGCACTCACTAAACACTCACATTATACACAGCACTCACTAAACACCCACATTACACACAGTTATCACATCTCAACCATCTCACACACAGTATCCGTTAGTTGCCTCAATAGCCACAGGCCATCCTAATCACACACAGTTCCCCTTTGGCACCTGCATAACACTAACCAATAAACGTAGTGACAGGTCTAACCGTAAATTGATTTATTGTACCTTTTATGTGGAAGAATTGCGATAGTACTCTGTGGCACTCTGATATCCTACAAGGAAAACTGTATAAACTGGATAGAAGAGACAAGAGGAAGGTCTAAAAGAGTGTAGTGTAGTACTTATGATGCTAGAAGTGCCCTAGTACTGACCCCCACTGTAAGTAGACAAACCATCTCAGATTGGGTTAACCTAGAGTCTGTGCGGCACTTCTTCCTACCGTCCCTACTAGTTCCGACAGAGAGACAAAATATCCCAAGCAGGAGCTCCCTCCCATTAGTTTTCTGAGCTGAGCCTTGCAGTGCACTGCAAGCTCGTTCACTTAGATCAGCGGTTCCCAACCCAGTTCTCAAGTACCCCCTAACAGTCCAGGATTTAGGGATTACCATGTTGTGTCTATAGTGTTTTTTTTTTTCTCTTCTGAAAACACCTTACACCCAACCGGGTAATCGCCAAATCCTGGCCTGTTAGGGGGTACTTGAGGAGGGGGTTTGGAACCACTGATTTAGATTGTCAGTTAATTGCTCTCAGCCAATCAGCTAAGGCCTGCAAGACTTGGCTCACACAGACATCTTCCATCTCTCTGTTCAAGTAGTGTTGAGCAGGGAGCGCCTAGCAGAAATGTCTTGACTACTTACAATGGGAGTGCCAGGGCACTCCAAGCACCATAACCACTATAGTGCTCTGTACTGGATAGAGAGTTTGGAGTGCTCCTTAGAATGACACTCGGATAATGTTATTTTGTCATTTTAGAGTCAAGAATACATTTTTCCCTTTTTGCAGCACAACTGAAAATTGCTTGAAATAAGATTATTTTTTTAACTTTCTTTTGGATTAACAGCAGGAACTTGTAAATGGAAGGTTGAACTTGACTGACTTTTGCAATCTGCATTTCTGTGTAGCTATGGTAAATGTCAAATTGCTCTTAAGCAACAGATACACTTTAACACAAGATAAGAAGATTTCTGTTGTAGCATTAAGTAGAATGGTGCCACAGGAGTTAACGCAGAGTACAATGGCACAATATGCACAGATCAAAGAGTATATCGTCTCACAGAAGATGTCTGTATACCTTAAGTTGTCACATCTCTGTGCATCGTTTGGTTCTGACAGAGCTGAAGGCATACAGAGCTTTCCCTATGTCTGTGTCTCCATCTATTTCAATCTCTTTGGCTTTCTTAGAAATGTCAGCTGTTTGTCTTCAGTTTGTAAATGACATCTTCATCTCTCTATTTATTGAAACGTATTCAAAGGAGTATTTGGTTTTGGCTGTTTTATAAGTGACTTTATTTGTGATTTTCTTTTTGTTTTTTGTTTTTTTGTGACTCTTTTTTATTTTAAAACCAGTGTTTAATCTACTGAAGGAATATTAATTGTTCAGTATTTTAATAATAAGCGCTATTATTGTGTGTGTTTCTGTATATATATATTTATGTAAAGGCAGGTGCCTGGAGTTGTGGGGGGTAGTCTGGCTATTTAGTGAACTCCCCTCCTGTCTCCAGCGCCGCATCGTGGCCTGCGTGTCATGTGCGTAGGTAGAGGGTAACTGTGTATGGGCATAAACCTAACCCCTTGATGAACCCAACCTTTGCCACAATGAAACACACAGACTTTGCTTTGGATTAAAATAGGCCACAGCTTTATTAAAATATAAATATATAAATCTTTAACCCCTTAAGGACCAAACCTCTGGAATAAAAGGGAATCATGACATGTCACACGTCATGTGTCCTTAAGGGGTTAACCTTTAACTTTATAACATAAAACACTATATACATAATTACTCAGTAAATAGATACGTCACTGAGTACCACCTCAAGCTTCGATCCAACTAGCACAAGGCCTTTTCTTGGGCCTAATACTGCGTAATGCTAGCCACTAGCCGGTTAGTTGGCTCACTGTTATCCATCACTGTACTTGAGGTTAAGGGAGGGACAGCCCTACCCATACACTTTCAATGGACCGCTGGTCAAACCCCCGGTTGACAAGGGCCATATACTGCCACACACCCCCTAAATCTGCAGGGCTGCCCCACCACCACAGCCATGGCCTCCTCCAAAGCCTCCTGCAACATGAAATTAAATAAATCCAGCCCAACATCCATCAGATGGACCCCATCACTACGAAAATAAATAGAAGCATAACGCTCAAAGATGCAATGACGCACCGTTAGCACCCCCATTCCCCTCACAAAACGGGAGACCATCTTATTGAGCTTAATTCTGCCCCACATCAAAGCCCTGGGTCCCTAGCCCCCTGCCAGAAATTTTGAGAATGCACTTCAGACCATATTAAAAACACCCTCGGGAAATCAGAGCCAGAGCCTGAACAGTGCCAAAATCATTTCCCCCAGCATGTATTAGAATGTCATCAGGAACACCGAGCAGACCAGCTAAACTAACCACTTCTGGCTGCAGCTGCTCCCACCGTATTCCCTGGGTACCAAACCAACGGACTTCTGCCAATGACAGGCCCAATTGTAGTCCCCCGGGACGAACTTGAGCCCTCAGCTGGGTCCAATGAATGTAAGAA